AAAAAACGGACATTGCGATATTTATTTCCCCTGCGATATATATTGTGTTTTTTTTAACTACCGTAATTTTCGGACTATAAGCCGCACCTGAATATAAGCCGCAGCAGCGGCATACCACTCTCGGTTCCNTTCCAGATGGCAGATGTTGCTTTTCTTTTTGGAAGTAAATCTTCATTCTCTCCGGTATTGTCCTCCTGTGCCTCGCTCATTTTTTACCGGTGTTTTGATGGTCTGCAAACTAGCGGGGCGGGGCCTGCTGTGATCTGATCAAGAATGATTGTGATTGGTGGTTTGTTGTGCATGCAGAGCCTGCATGTCACTCACTCAAGTACCCCTGACATGAGAGCCGCGTAAGTTTTCCTTTTGTAGCAAGCAGCAAAATAATTGTAACATGACGTGTTTGAGTTAATTTACCTATTTAATATCACACGTCCTAAAGAAAAAAAAAAAAGATTATTAAAAAAAATTATTAAAATCGCACGTCCCTGCGATGTGAATATCGCGCATGCGCATATCGCGGTTATCGCCATGACACGATATATCGTTCAGCCCTAGCATACATATATTAAAATGCTGGTAGTTATTAAAGCTTCACATGAGCTGTCTGATAAAGAAGATATATTACCTTGAGATTATAGAAATGTGTGCTATAATGGGGTAACTTACTTATTAATGGTCCTGGTTGTATCGGGTCACAACTGCCTTAGGACTTTATTAGATTCACAGGATTTTTTGCAGGACTGTGATTAAGTATAGGATTTTTCATTTTCATTGGATAAGGCCAAAAACAGACATTCCTGTCTAGTTATTTTATTTACAAATATCCTGTTTGATTTAGTTGAATGAAAATGTATTTTACCAAGATACAAGTTGATGTTGTGATTTGCAATAACCCATATCTGTTATCAATATGACCCACTATGATGCATGACTATAGAATGGTATCTTAAGGGGGTCACATTTCTTGTCGATTCACATTTGTTATGTAGTGTTCCCCAAAGTCATGACACCAGCATGGCACACAAGAAAGCACTGTTGCTTGTATTTGAAAGAGAGATAAAGGAAAGAAGGGGGGACATTTCTTCTGTATTTCGAACATAAGAGAGTCGGGGAACTAAAGCAATAACTCGGTCTCAATGCTACACCTTCTACCTGCTGAGCTGCCAGGGCCCTCGGGTGTTTTCATTATGTGCCTTTATACTTTTTACTTCTCACATGTATCCACATTAAACACCCTCACAGCGTCACACTGAGGATGACGGATGATGCTTGGCATTGCCCGAGATGTGTGAACAAGACTGAGAGAAATCACAGCAAGCTAACACAACACTGTCTGTGTTTCCTGTGAGACACTAGCTCTAACTGAGATATGTCTCTAGTCCAATAGGGTGCACACATACAAAAGTAGTAAAACTGTCAACTAAGGCGACTCTGAGGGGATCATTTCTTATTAGTCACAAAACATCTGCACATTTTTGAATACATCCTTTGGTATTTAATGAAAATTCTAGCTACATTAAATCTAAAATGATACTGTCACTTTAGTTCTCAGTTTCTAAGGTCCTGTAATTTTTTTCTGAACGGGTCAAAAGGGAGAGTTGGTCTGCATGAGCTACCTCAGATTAGTTACAATGTGATGGATATAGCCTGGAAAACAAGATAACAAATATTAAATGTACAAATGAAAATGCCAGGGGATTGAATCCACTTTGTGTAGGAGGAAGAATGAAAAACGTCTTGAAGCTGAAGGTCTCTTTTCTTGCATGAAGTCAGTCGGGAAGGGCTTTGTTTTTCAGCCAAGTGGAAAATTGGATTTTCTCACTTTAAGACAAAATGGCAGCACACCTCCAGCTCCTCTCAGTGGGACCCGATTTAATTCACTCAGAGTCCCAGTCTCTATATTTAGGGTCTGGACATGTGACTGAACTGCTGGTTTTGTCACAGACAACTACACTAAGTAGTCAGAGGCAGTTGGGGGAAAAATAAATGTTGAACAGGAGGTATTTATCATTTCTGCTCTGTGGACACTTTCAACCTAAAAGCATAATATTTTCAATCATGCAACAAAAATACGAGCTGAGAAAATGTCCAGTGCAATAATCATGTGGAAAAGTTTAATAATAACACATGTAAATGCATCACACGACTAATAGCTGTTAATTGTTCCTCTCAGGAGACGCAGGAGGACGACCAGGTGTCCCATCAGTCGTCCACCAGCCGTCTGTCCAGGTCTCCTCTGAAAGGGGTGAAGAAGGTGAAGATCATGCAGTGCAAAGTCACCATGCTGGACGGCTCCGACTTCTCAGTCAACGTGGAGGTGAGAGGAAGCATAACACATATTTGTTTTATTGAATGATATGTAGTACGAACCGTGTACAACTTCACACGCATACATTGATTCATTTAGGTTTACACACATTTTAATAAACTTCAAACACACTTTTATTTAAATACATAAGCTAAAGACTCCATTCCTGCGGGGAACTTACTTGATATGTACTTTGTTTATATTTATTCATTTATTTGGGTTATTTATTTCAGAGTTAACTTTTTAAGATTTAAGATGAATATTTTGCAAGAGGGTCGTAAATGCTTAATCTGTGTTAACTGATATACAAACGCATTGAACTTGAGATTAAAGCTGAAAATGTTCTTGAATCATTATTACATTATCTATGTAATGTCTTGTCTTTTATCTGGACCCTGAGTCTGTAATAAAGTTTCATCAATCAGTTAGAGTATTTTTAAGAATAAAAGGTTACATCTTATTAAATGTTTCTTTGGTCCTACGTGACATTAAACTGAATATCTTAAAAATATATAATTTTGGGCTTTGGGAAACACTAATTGACATTTTTTCACCATTTTAGAAAATGTGATACACCAAACAACACTTTTTTTAATCGAGACAGTACTGGACAGGTGAATCGACAGTTAAATGAATCATTTGTTGCAGCGATACTTGTGAGAAATGAAATGTTATGCAGCATACTTGGCCTTTCCAATTGCCTTGCAGGAATGCCGCAGCAATCCATCAGTCTGTAAATTAGACTTTGAATGAAATGTTAATGATTGTTTCATCCATTTTAATTTAAAAGACATTATTCTTTCATTACCTGGAATGTTGGTAGTTCGATCCAGTCCATTTAACCGCGACCATTAAGGTGAGCTTTGTGTAATGGGATAGAAGAAGGCTACAGATATAATGTGCAAAGGGCAAATTCACCTTTTTTTTCAGGATGAAACAAATTTTAAATTGGCCTCTTTATTCACTTTTCTAATTTCAGTGGCAGTTTGGCTTTTTTATTCAAAAATCTGAAGGCATACTTATTTACTTATTATGCTCCGTGACCACAAAGTTAAAACATAAGCACCTTTCTTTGCAAAAAGGGTGAAGGAGTCCATGGAAAAGTACATTTTCGATAAACACTAAAAGATATTAAAATGATGTTTTGACAGATGACCAGAACTTTTGATTTCAGCATTAAATATGAAGGTGTCCCACAAAGACCCTGCCATAAGGAGCTAAACAGCTAACAGCGTTCTCCTTCTGCTGCTCGCGTCACTTCTGTGTGTATCAGTCTTATGATACCAGGCCTGTTGAATTCAAATAGAACACAAATCTGCTATTTTGACCGCCCTTCTTAGAAGTAGGGATTTAATGGATTTCACTGCAAATTTGCTTTGTGCCTAATTGCTTTGTGGGATTTGTTTTCCCTCCAAAGCTTCTCTGTGTAGTCTTGAGAAAAAAAAAGTATTCCTATAACGTTTCTGAAATGTTTAGTTCTTACTTCAAAGCTCATCCGCAATCCAGAAATAAACCCTATGAGGAACAGGAATAATCAGTGGAAAAACATGTGTCTTTGTTTTGTAAATGTATAGCGCCCAACACCGCCACCCCAGCTGTGTGGCTTTTATCCTTAAGTGGTACAAATTAAATATGGAAATGGGGTGAGTTGCAGAACGAAGAATTGGAGCATGTTAATCACGATGTGTTAAAATCAGAGAGGAGGGTCAAGTGTTTGATGGATTTGTTATTTTCTGGCCAATGTAACAAACGACCAAGAAAGGTACGAATGTCACTAGGCAGCCAGTGTGCTATTTTAAAGGGTTCTTATTGGGGTGCTCTATAGGTTTCTGTGCATGTAAATGGTCGGGAAGGCTAAAATCACAGAGCTTCTTTACTCCCACACACTCCCCCCTTGCCTGGAATGCCTCCTTTGGACTTTTTGGTTTACTTCTGTAACAGTCACATGACTATGTAACACTCACACCTCTGTTGGCTAGCGCTCTAAGGAATTGTATTATCATAGCCAACTAACCAGAGCAGACTGGGCTCTGGTTTCAGACAGTCCGTTTCTCAATGTCGAGTAAACCTGCTGCAGAGCCACTTTTTCAAGTATACTACGTCATCGAGTGACGCCGAATGCAGGGCATTTAAACAGTCCTTCGGCGCCACTCGATGACGTAGTATACTTGAGAAACGACAAGAGAGTTGGGACCTGCATGAGGCACAGGAAGCCGGCAGCCAATGGCGTCCGGGCAACGGCACAGCTGAATATGCATAATACTTTTTTATTCTTTTTATACATAATAGACGCAGACACACACACAGAAAGGTTAATGGGCAGAGAGGAGGCGGCGGCCGTAACTTTCAGATAATAATGAAATTATGGCAAACTATTTACCATTGTCCACCCTGTCAACAAGCCTTCCCATGACAGGGTGGACA